AGTTAACATCTTAAACCTACATAATGTCAAAAACACCAGCATAATTTCCAAAAAAAAATCGGCATAATATCACTTTTTCAAGTGACGTGATACCGGTGCCGGGCGCTGAACGGTCAAGCGTCAAAGGCGTATCATGGAGTGCCTAAGACTTTCGAAGGCTAGCAAATTACTAATATGTGTTGTATGTGGGAAAATACGAAAAAGAGGCGACAAACACCTAGGTTTTTAGTAAAATTTTCCACTAGCTGATACGAATAGGTGCGCCAGGCTGAATACGATTCTACCTTCTGTTGATAGATGCGGTTTGGAAATTATCATTAGAGAGAGGTAGGTGAAACTAACGAAAGACTGCGTAGCTCCAACGAAGCTAACCTTTGCTAAAACGCATTGAAATGTCCGTGAGTTTTACCTAAATGCTATGTATAATTTTTATAATTGTTTAAAAGGACATCTCGAATTGTGGCCACAGTGTTACAGAAATTCCCAATCCGTTCAAAATATTGAAAACTGCACGGTCTGCCTTGAGCAACTAGAGTCACGAGACGCCACTGAAGGCGTGTTGCATAAACTTGAGGAAAGACTGTACGCTGACGACACTCCTTGAGATGGGACAAGGGAAGGTAACTAGCCAATAGAGTTGAGTTCAAAAATTAAGTGTAACAATTATTGGTCAAATTAGTTTTCATGTTTAGAGAATTAGATGGCCATTGCAAAGGTTGTAAACTGGCCAACCAATGAGGAAACAAGGGTTGAACTTTTATATTGTAAATTAAGTTTGCTTTAAATTAATCGTAATTCACTCCTCCAATGATCCTTTCCTCAGCCTATGAGTTTTACGTTTCACATTGTCATGAGTGCTTATATATTTTGAGTCTGGAATTCAATTATCAATAAAAATTGTCTCTTCTAAGTTGACTTTTATTTAATTCGTTAACTGAAACTAACCGAGTTCGGCGGTTCCGAAAGTATTCATTCGGGCGTTTACCACGTTCTCTGGATTACTTGAAGAACAGAGGAAGCATCATTCCACGTAAAGTGAGTGTTAAGATTATATTACTTTATGTCAGGTTCTACGCGAGTCTACCTCCTATAGGAAGACAAGTAAAAGGTAACAGAATCGGACCAATCTAGAAATTGAAGTATTGAATTGGGGATCCGAAGTCAAGGCTCGATGTTCAGAGGTCCGAGAGCCTCGGTCGAAGTTCCTGTTACAGTATGTACATATTTATGAGACGGTTAGAGCTTAATGCTATACGAACAGAAGCAATTTTATTGCAACAACTAGGAGATTGTATGTATTGATTTTATTCTAAAATTTAATCTGTAGGTACATTAGGGTTAAAAAAAAAAGTATAAAACGTTCGCTCCATTTGCGGTAAAAGAACTTGATTAAAAAATAAAAAATGATTGTTTATTTACAAAAATAAAAACCACCTTTCAAATGTATATTCACTAGTCAACTGAGTAGTTCATAAATTCGTAACTACCCCGTCGATTCATCTGAAAAAATCCGAAACTGACTCGAACCGCCATCTAGTGACCATAAGTTTAGCTAATTTCATTTCATTACATTCAATCTAAAGATTTTTACTTTATTATAAAGTAGCTTAAGTTCTTGGCGCATAGGTAGCGCTAATTTTTTGGAATTGTAGTGATGAAAAAGTTGAATACCAAATGATTTCATTAATTTTTACCAAATCAAAATATTCAAGCTCATCACAAGGTTTAAGTGCCAGCGTACGCCATTGCCATTAGTCTCAATAATCAAATCCAAGCGAATAACCAAAATGTCTGTGTTATGTGCCGCGGTTATGATATGGTTCAAGATGACACACGGATTGATGACGTCAGTTACACGAATCGCTTGAACGCGTTGTTTTAACCGCGGTTTTGTTGCAAGTTGTTTATTTTAGAAAAGCTCGTATATAATCTCTGATTATTTTTATTATCACTTAATAATCGGTGCTTTTTCGTCTACTCTAGTTTAAAAAAGAAACCTTTCATAATATTCATAGGAGAAATGTTTTCTTTTTCAGATTTTTTTTTAATGATAGAACCATGGCTTTGTAGCTATGATAACTTTCAATTCTCTAAAGTTTTCCGCATGTCAAAGAAAATATTTATTGATTCCAGAGAAATGACGAAAAAAGATATTAGCAAAACCGAATACAGGTGGACATCATCATGAGTTTATATGGCCATATTTTAATATTCTTGTGGTATATATGGCTACACAGGATAGGTACTTTGTTAAGCATAGGAACTACATTTAATGTGTCCCCAATAACAGTGATGAGTATAACTAAAAAGGTGCTCCACTTTATGGTAAAACTCAAGTCAGCCTGTATCAAGTTGAAGTACAATAACAACATCCAATACCCGGCAAAATTCTAACTTGTCACATTTCAAATAATAACCAGAAATATAAAACAACTCCTCAGTTGGGTAAATACCACAATTTTACGGTGATAACTATGACATATAACAACTGATTCATGACGTCACGGATCTTATAACCAAACTGATAACCACACTCGCTTGAACGGATCGGTAAATACCAACCCAAAATGGTAAATACCATTTTCTTTTGGTTATCCGCTTGAATTTGATTTTAGTATTTGGGAAATTTGCATTACAAAAATAAAAATCGTTTTGCAAATTCGTATCAGGAAAATCTGGCCCGGGTAAAGATAACATAGAAACGCAAGACAACTGTTGAAATGTATTCTACCAGACTCTAAAAGACTATCCGCAGCGAAATTTTTCCCGAAATCGTGGCACAACATGAAAAAAAAAATGATAATTGTAAAATTGCTGCTTTGACGTTCTAAAAGGGCCGTCGGTATCCCGGGATGGATATATACGTTTCAACAATTGACCACGTTATTCTTGTCAACTGGATTGCGGTGTTGCCAGCTCATCGGACGGCTTGCTACCTCTGCTACTTTGCTGAAATGTTATAAAAAAAGTTTTATACGTACAAGAACAAGGAAAACCTGGTGGTGTCGATGTTAAAACGTCTGATGAGTACCAACGGAGCTACTTCGAACTTGAAAGAGTCAATTATCATTTGCATTATTTTATATTGTGTATCGATTTTTGGGAAAATTCCACTACCGGATAGTCCGGATAGTCTTGCAGAGCCTAGTAGAAAGTAGAGTATATCACGGGGAGTCAACTCATTCGGCAGAATAAAAAACCATGCGATGTTGCCGAAACAACCTGACGTTGGCATCCAGAAAACATGAGGGCCACAGAACACATAAGACTGAAGAAATGAGAGCTGCATGTTAAACAATGGCAACACCGTTTGTCAGATGGTTGCGCTGCCTACTTGCCTGGAGATCTGGATGAACTATCGACAAAATGCCAAAAATGGGCCTGGAATAAGGAATGTGCCGGGCAGCCGGGGAATTCGTTTGTTCATAACTTGAAATCTGCCAAAAATGATATTTCCGATATATTCATAAAATATCCCCAATATATCTTTCAGCAGTTTTGCAGATAAACAGGTTCGGAATAATAAAATCCAACCCTGATTATGAAGCACCAAATTTATTTACGTTTCAAAAAATATTCATATGCTGTTGACAATGGTATAAAAACTGTATTACATGAAAATATAAGTAAATAGATTTATTACAAATGCATGTTGAGTGTTTCAAAACACAAGTGTCTCACTTCATTGTACCGCTTCTTGATAATTCTAAACCATACAGAAAACACTAATGTAAAATATTCACAATTCTTTGTAAATAAGCTAGTCACTTTTAATTAGTGTGCTCATTTCTATGCTTGTTGGCCCTCCATATTTTATATAATGGTGCCAACTACATACAAGGATTATAAATAGGCAGATATGCAATTTTAAATAATCTGCCAAATACAGCATGCCGATATGTTAAGTTCACAGCAAACCTTCGCACTTCAACCGCTTTCACACCCGCGATTTTCACGCCGACCAGAGCATCAGGAACGCTTCTAATGGGATAGGAACCAGAATTAGAACAAAATACCGGATCATTTCTTGAACCAGTCCACTCGAATACATATTTTTCATCTTTCTCAACGGATTCGCCTTTCATCGCCCTTTTCTGGCGCATTTTGTCAGTTTTGGTTGATATTCAGTAATTGCATTAATTCATTAGATACACTTTTTGCGTTTATAGGTAACCACAGGACAGTACTCAGGTACATTTTGTCTTGATTCAAAACCATAGTTGACAAACTTAAAAGGGAAAAGAATTTACGCAATATGGAAATAAATAAGATTTCCGAGTACCTTGACACTGCTAAAATGTCTCAAACCTTCATTTCCATTCGCAGTTCATACAAAGATATAAAACTATAGAGTCTTCATATGAAAGTTTCTATAAACGCCATAACACTATAATTGGTATGTTAGATCCTGACCAAGATGAGGAACTTCTTGTTGAGGATAACATTCGCATTGGGGTTGATAACAAATATTATTCCATTAAATCCATTTATTATGATTTGTTTGAGGTTAAAGAGTTGAGGTCTGACACTCGGCCTGAAATATCCGATGTTCCACCCAGAGTGAAACTACCTAAACTAAAACTGATGAGGTTTAAAGCAGATATTAAATCCTCCATGTCATTTATTGATGTTTTTGATGCCTTAATTCATAGCAAATAAACTCTATTAAAAAATATAGAAAAATTGTCGCATTTGATATCATTTGTTGATGGGTCTGCTAAAGGTATGTTACAGTGCTATCCTTTAACTTCGTCCAATTATTTAGTAGCTTATATACTAATAAACGGCTTTTAGCAATCTCACGCGACGCATGAATTCTGAAAATCCCGCTCAACTCAAGAAACTACTAGAACATATTCTGAAAATATTGCCGCATTGAAAAATCTTGGTTCTCCCGTAGCTGAATGGGACTTCATTTTGACCAATATGCTTCTTACGATTTGAACTGTTTGAGTAATAATTGTCATTCTAACAGTATGTGTAGGTCAGTTCATACTTGTCGCATATGTGACGCCAAGCATCACTCGCTGCTTCATGTTATTCAATACACAAATGCTTCGCAACCCTCTAATGATCCTTAATCGCCTGTAGTTGAAATCGCACAATCTTCAAGTTTGAAAAATCATATTTCAAATACCCAATGTACGCTGACCACTCGCCCTGAATCCGCAGCTGTATCCCCCAGCCAACTACAAATTATTTCGCTCATTCTACGCTGAAAGTTAATATTTGGGAAATAAGCAAACCGGTAGAGTACTCATAGATACAGGTAGTGAGTGTTGTTAATTCGCAGAAAAACTTGGTTTACCGATAAAAATGAGCGCTGCTACTATTTACGGATTAGGAGGTATGGAAATGTATAATAATATAGGCCAAATTTCGGTTACTGTTACCCCTCTAAATAAATCGCAGCCTACTTAAAATTTTGATGATATTGTTTCGGATAAAATTGGTGGTAATATGCCTTCCGTTACGATTGATGTGAGAGGATGGTCTCGTATCAAAGGCTTAGAATGGGGTGAGCCGGAATTCTTCATTTCTCAATCTATAGAATTAATTTTGAATGTAGATTTGTTCCAACGCATTCTTTTTTTTGACACCTTAATTCCTCATTCCTCTCAGACTAATTTACCTCGAGCAGTCAATACATCATTTGGATACGTTTTCATGGGACAAATTTGACTCTGAGGAATGTATAAGCAAAACCAATTTTTTTACTCTGATCTCGCTTAATGATTCTTTAAAACGTTTCTGGAAAACAGAATCGGTTCCACATCGCTCATATTTGTCTGCTGACGAATTAAAATGCCAACAAATTTATGAAAAAACAACTTCTCGGGAAACATCTGGGAGATATGTTGAACCGTTGCTACGAGGAACCTATGTATCTTCCATGACAGCTGGCAAATAGCACAAGGAAGATTTTGCTCTTCAGAAAAACGCATTTCTTTATACGAATTCTATATGATACATGATAGACAATAATTATATGTCTTTATCTGATAACATTCATTCTTCTTTGCTTAACGACTATTCCATGCCGCATCATTACGTGTTTAAACCGGAATCAACTACCACAAAATTAAGAGTTGTTTTCGATTCTAGATTCTAATCAGTTATCACTAAATGGCACACTTATGTCAGGTCCTAAACTCCAGAAGGATATTAGTCAACTTCTTCTGAATTCTAGATTGCCACAAATCGCTATAACCGCTAACATTAAGTCAATTTATTTGTAAATCTTATGGATATTTTCACCAGACGCTCAACTTGAGAAGTATGTTCTGAACACTGTCAGTTTTGGCATTAGTTGCTCGCCTTATTTAGCATTAAAAACTATCCAGCACTTAACAAAACATGAAGAGCACAATCATCCATTTGCGTACTTTTAACCGCCCCTCGTATTCACGTTTTCTGGAAGATGTTAAATTAGTCATTAAATACAGTTCCGATATTCTAAAATTGGGATAGTGCCTCATTCTATATATTATTTTGTATCCTATGAAGAGTCTCGAATACTCCAGCAAACCTGATGTTTTTATGACATACCACAGTCGTTTTTGTTGCCATGTGTTACACACAGAAATGGACGGAAATTGATATTTTTCTTTTTCCGTATTAGAAATTATTATAATGAATGAAATGATTTAATCAATTTTTAAGCCTTGTGGTAGCACTAGACGATATTCAGGACGTCAGGTATGCGTTATGAGGCAGGACTAATAGGTTCAGGGATTTGCAGGGGAAAAACAACACGCCAAAGTGGCGTATTGAGACACAGGCTGAAATGGGCATGTAGTGCCCTTATAACGAATGAGAAGTCTTTCTTCCACATTCAGATGCCTTGGGGGACTTGTCACGCAAGCCTCTTGGTGTTGTGAGCCCTGTAAGGTCCCTAACAGTGGGCAAAAAGACACTAAGGTCCCGTTTGGTTGTAGTACAGGTTTAAAAGCACTTTAGAATGGTCATCGTGCGGGAATTGCAACCTGCACGGTGCTGATGCACTGCCGGTCGTCGGGGAGACGCTAGAACTGGCTATAGGCCCTGCAGGGTCTGATCTAGCGCTTTGGAATGAGATGCACTAGGGGTGTGGGCACTCATTTTATAGGTTACGCCATAAGGAATCGAATAGAAATACTTTTGATTCAATCAAATGCACCGCATCGGCGTCACGACGTCAAGAAGATTCGCAGTGGCAGACGGCATGACGTAGCGACCAAGGTCGGTTCTAGAGCATTTGCTAACCCTATAAAATCGCAGGCGTATGTACGCCATGGCTCTTTCTTTTCCGTTGTTCCCTCCTGGCAGAAACCGTAGTACCAAAGCACCCGCTTGCACCAAGAGGTAAGGGGGTGAGATACAAGGGTGTTCCGTTTAACCGTTTTAAACCAGTAACGTTCCGTTTTAGTGATATAGTTGTTTATCAGATATATCTACAGGGTGTTCCTTAATGATATGCGAATATTTAACGGTGTAAATCTACATGAAAAATTAAGGTTAGTTCGCTTTTTAAACTATGGTCCAAAAATGTTTCCTTACAGAAAGTCGGGGTGTTGAAGTTTTAGGAAAAACATGGAAATTAATTAATATTTGCAGAACCGCTTCAGATATTCCACTGATATTTAGTACGTAGTGAAAGTTGATAAAGCTGCATATTTTTCAATGCAAAAATAATTTTTAGCTTCAACAGTGGCGTGCGTAAGGGGTATTGACTTCGATATTTAAAAAAAAATGGTACGCCATGGTTTTTTGCCAAATAAAAATTATTTTTGAATTCCCCGTTCAATTTAAAACAAATGGTCTCTCTTGAATTGTTTTCCTTCGATGCGCCATTTTTGAGTAAAAAATAAAAACCGTCCTATTGTTCGAGTAAATTGATGTAATAATTGAGAATGCAATTTAGCAATAAGTATCTAGTTGCTCTAGAATATGTCACAGGCTTTTGACATCTGACAAATCTCTGTTATTCAAATCGGTTTGCTGTGACGTCTTTTTCATTATTTAGTTTTTACAATCTTGTTAATAATAGTGAATTATTCAAATGCAGAAATGGCGGAAATGCATTACGTATATGGCCTTGCCGACGGTAATGGTGAGCAAGCCAGACGGATTTATCACCAGAGATATCCAGATCGTGCTTTGCCAGATAGTCGAACCTTTTCTCACTACGTACTAAATATCAGTGAAATATCTAAAGCGGTTCTGAAAATATTAACTAATTTCCATTTTTTTCCTAAAACTTCAACACCCCGAGTGTAAGGAAACATTTTTGGACCATAGTTTATAAAGCAAACTAACAATAATTTTTCATGTAGATTCACACCCTTAAATATTTGCATATCAGTAAGGAACACCCTGTATACCCCGCTTAGTTTTACCTAAACATTATAACTACATAGATTGTTGGGTTTTCTGATGCCAGCTCAAACGCTCATTCAGCCGTAGTTTTTATGAGAATTATTACGCATTCAACTATACAGACTTCTCTGTTATGCGCGGAATCTAAGGTGAACTCAAGTTTCTATACCGCGATGTGAACTACTAGAAGCAGTTTTGTTGTTTCAACTATTGCGCTTTGTTATTGACACATATAGTAATAAAATTTCCTTCAAACATATTTTCCCGTTTACAGATTCTACAATCGTTTTATATTGGCCTAATTCCTCACCACACAGATGAAAACCATTTGTAGCCAATAGGATACCAAGCATTCAAGAAATGCTACCTGATGTTCGGTGGTATCATGTGGCTTCGAAAAATAATATCGCAGATTGCGCATCTTGTGGTTTACAGCCCTTAGATTTTAAAAACTATGGACAGTAGTGGGCAGGCCCTGCTTTATTGTCGCATCCATTGATTGGCCCACCGCATGTCCTCTAATAAACATACCACACTGTGTGGACAATGAGCAAAGAAAAACCGCTCTTATGTCAAACATAGATCCGAACATATTGGATATGCTTTTGATCAGATTTGCAGCGTTATGCATATATTCAAAGATTTATTTATAACGCTAGGCATCCCAAAACAAAATTTTTATCTCCGCTCATCGCTTCATGTCTGAAGAACGAAATGTACGCTTTGGTCAAGCACACTCAAAGTCAATACTTTTCTTCAGATATTTATAGTTTAAAGGCCAATAAGGTCGCTTCTAAACCGCTAAGGAAACTTGGTGTTTTTCTAGATGATAATGGAATTCTCAGAGTTGGTGGTAGACTACACAATTCACTCTTAAGTTACCAAATTTATCCAATGAACAAGGGACGAAAAGCGAAAATTGGATATATGTGTTTTAAATGTTTTCCAATCTATTTTCCGGGCTAGAGCAGAATCGTTAGGCCACGACGAGAAAAGTGGACGTCTATTTATCGTCCAAAACAGTCACTGCCGATTTTTTCCAAACATACCTTATCCGAGATAATTCAGTTAATTTTCACTTAAAAATTTGCAGGAGGGCAAACCCGAAGACGTCGGCATACCGTTTGATTCAGATCTCATCAAATGCTGTCCCATGTGCAACGTTCCTATCGAAAAAGACGAGGGCTGCGCGCAGATGATGTGCAAAAGGTGCAAGCACGTCTTTTGTTGGTATTGCCTCGCCAGCCTGGACGTGAGTACATTTGGTTGTAGCTTAGTAGATACTTCCTATATTCGCATCTGTTGGAAAGAATATTCTGATTAATTTTTTTTTTTGAATAATCTCATTCAAAAAGGACCGACACCCTTCAAGGCCGTAAATTGTATCAAAAATCGATATTTTTTTTTAACCGTTTGCACTCCAGACAAAGTTGTTTTAGAGTTTTTGAGTCATTCTGAACAAGAAAGATTCTCAAGAACTTTTATCTAAAGTAGATATGTTATATTTTCAATTTGTTTGTTTGTTTCACAAAATATATTATGTCTTCAAAACTACATAGTTTCATTACCTACTATGAATTCTGGTTTTCCATAAGATATGTTTTCAATTTCCCTTTGAACGTTTTCAAACTGACACACATCTTGATATCATTACTCAATTTATTAAATTCGTAGAATTATTGCTACTGCTGTTTTGTAAATGAAAGTCTATACTTCCTCTAGTAGAATAATTGTGGCACTCATTGTTCAATACAATAAAATTTTCTAAGTGATTTGGTAGAAGATGATTTTTCAACTTGAACATGAAAATGAAAACCAAGTAGGCTATGAATTTTTTGATATTTAACCATTGTAGTTCTTTCAGCAGAAAATTTATTCCAGTATATTTATTTTTATTTAAGATGATTCTCGTAGCTTTATTTTGTAATATTTGTAATTCTGAAAATACAGTTTCATTTGCAGTGAACAAAATAGTTGAACAATATAACAAATGAGGAAGAATGATTGTGTTGTACACAATTTTTTTAGAATAGGCCATACGATATTCTATAAAAGTAACTCATTTTCTGGGATATTTTTGAAATAATATATTCATAGTGCCCTTCAAATTTTAATTTACTGTCTACGTATATGCCCAAATATTTAAATGATTCGATTGACACAATTTTTTCATGATTAAATGTAAGATTTATCATATTTTGATCTAAAGATTTTCCTATTAGCATATATTTTGTTTTTTTTTGTGTTTAGTTTGAGTTTGTTTACATTTAACCAATTTATTTCATTTTTCATATCATTATTTAACAGCTCTATTGCAGTTTCAATGTCTTTATTTTATTTATATATATATACAGGGTGTCCCAGAAGTCGATGTCAAGCCGAAACCGGGTGATAGGCAAAGTCATAACAGCTATCAGAAAAATATTTAAAAAAATGTATGTATGTGTTTTGAAAATTATAGGTCTTTGAAAAAAATATAGAAATTTCACACCCTACGGCAGTCTGTCAACTCCTGTTACTACAAATATTAACTTTTTGTGGATTTTATTTTTACAATGTAATGATGAATAATGCATCTTCAAACTGGTGTCTCAACCTTACTGCCAACTTTTCTCGTTCAGGAAAAATTGCCACTTATTTCCCAACCAAGTATTCCAAAGTAAAACTTTGCACAACTTTAACTGGCTGTACTGGAAAAAAATGTACTACGAGAGTTTGGCAACTAACCTTAAAAGTTGGCGCATTTAATAAGGATTCCAAAATGGTATAACACTTAGAAGATTACTCGTTAACTTATGCACAATTTTTATTTGAAAAAAAACTGATGAAAATTTTTAAAAATTTCCTAATTAAACAGCGATTATGAAAACGCACAAGGACCCTTAAGGATAACTGTTTGCACAACAGTGGGCGTCAAAATGCTGCTGATGATGATTTACCTTTACAGCAAATGCTCAAACTGTTTTCCTTCAACCGCAATACACGCTCGACATCTTCTTAAAAAAGATCGGGTTATTAAACGAGCGAATCCACGGTTATTAACAAACTCAGCTGCTTCCAATAGTCTTTGCCGTAGCTCAGCTACATTTTGAATCCGCTTGAAATACACTTTTTCTTTTACAGTTCCTCAGTAAATTCAAATCAGGTGATCGGGCTGGCCACGGTATTGTACCAGACCGCCCTATCCATCTGCCTGGAAAGTTTTGATCGAGATACTCTCTCACTGAGAGTGCATAGTGCGCTGGGCAGCCATCATGCTGAAACCACATGTCCCTGTAAATACTCAGTGACACGTCCACCAATAAATTTTGTACATGATTTTTCAAAAAATCCAAATAAACTTTAGCAGTCAAAGTCTCTGGGAACTCAAACGGACCGATTATTTTACCATTTAAAATTCCTGTCCAATGGTTTATCTTGAAGCGATATTGAGATTTATCTTCTCTCATCAAATGTGGGTTTGCTACGTGCCACTCGTGTAAGTTATGCATGTTCATGTACCCATCTTTCTTAAATGTGGTCTCATCCGACCATAAAATTTTTTCAAAGAACTGTGGATCTTTCCTGTGTCTTTCTAACATTGTGCGACAAAAGCAACTCGGGGCTCATAATCCCGGGGCAGAAGAGCTTGAACACGCTGTATGTGGTATGGATGAAGCAAATCACTTACTTACACACTTTGATACCGATCAGTACTCCTTCGTTTACTGCGCATCTTTACATGTTCGTGCTTGTTGATTTCGTACTGTTACTAATTTTGGATTCGTAAACTGGACTGTTGATCGCTTGTGATTTGGATTTGGACTGTTTAATTGCTCTTCAAAACAACATTTGCTTTCCTTAGACTATCTTTGATAGTGTGATTGTGCAGTGCCGCTATGTCCGTGTACACCGTACAAGAATATGCTAACATGCACCTCATTTATGGGGAATGCAGATGCAACGCTAGTGCTGCAGCGAGACTTTACTGTGAGAGGTACCCGAATGCAGCTCGTCATCCAGATCATCGAGTGTTCACAAATGTGCACCGCTTACTGTTCTCAGAGGGCCAGCTACCAAACCAATCACACGGTGAGGGAAGATCTTTGGTTCCTTACGAAGACGTGGTGCTAGGAGCTGTCGAAGAAGACCCGAGTACTTCAGTGCGTGCAATAGAACTAAAAACAGGTGTGCCCAAAGGTACAGCCCATAGAATCTTGCAAAAAAAACGTGCTCCATCCATACCACGTACAGCGTGTTCAAGCTCTTCTGTCCCGGGATTATGAGCCCCGAGTTGCTTTTTGTCGCACAATGTTAGAAAGACACAGGGAAGATCCACGGTTCCAGGACAGCTAAGATGTCAGTAAAGATTGTAGATATTTCTAAATACATTAGGTTTAGGAGTTACCAAATTACGCTAATATGTTACAGAGGCAACCAAGGTTAGTTTTAAAATTTTATGTTTTTTACCTTTTTTCACTTAATGTTGAGGCATGTTTCACACCTTTGCCCTTTATGTTTGATGAATGATTTCTTTTTACAAATTGTTTGTTTTGAATCAAATAATCTGACAGAAAAGTGACAGTAATTTTTTGTTGAAAAAAAATAATTATGACCTCAATCTTGAGTTGGAATTCCTCTAGAACAAAGTGCAAGAAATGATTTGATTTGAATAAATTAAACATAGGGTAATTCTCTAGCTTAGCAACACCAGCTGTTTTTTACAACATCGTTAAAATATATCATACTTCATATAAGATTTTATACAGGGTGTCCCAGAAGTCGACGTCAAGCCGAAACCGGGTGATAGGCAAAGTCATAACAGCTATCAGAAAAATATTTAAAAAAATTTTATGTATGTGTTTTGAAAATTATAGGTCTTTGAAAAAACTATAGAAATTTCACAACCTACGGCAGTCTGTCAACTCCTGTTACTACAAATATCAACTTTTTGAAAAAAGATGGGTACATGAACCTGCATAACTTACACGAGTGGCACGTAGCAAACCCACATTTGATGAGAGAAGATAAATCTCAATATCACTTCAAGATAAACCATTGGACAGGAATTTTAAATGGTAAAATAATCGGTCGGTTTGAGTTCCCAGAGACTTTGACTGCTGAGGTTTATTTAGGTTTTTTGCAAAATCATTTAGAAAATTTATTGGAGGACGTGCCACTGAGTATTTACGGGGACATGTGGTTTCGGCATGATGGCTGCCCAGCGCACTATGCACTCTCAGTGAGAGAGTATCTTGATCAAAACTTTCCAGGCAGATGGATAAGGCGGTCTGGTACAATACCGTGGCCAGCTCGATTACCTGATTTGAATCCCTTAGATTTTTTTACTGGGGAACTGTAAAAGAAAAAGTGTATTTCAAGCCGATTCAAAATGTAGCTGAGCTACGGCAAAGACTATTGGAAGCAGCTGAGTTTGTTAATAACCGTGGATTCGCTCGTTTAATAACCCGATCTTTTTTAAGAAGACGTCGAGCGTGTATTGCGGCTGAAGGAAAACAGTTTGAGCATTTGCTGTAAAGGTAAATCATCATCAGCAGCATTTTGACGCCCACTGTTGTGCAAACAGTTATTCTTAAGGGCCCTTGTGCGTTTTCATAATCGCTATTTAATTAGGAAATTTTGAAAAAATTTTTTTTTCAAATAAAAATTGTGCATAAGTTAACGAGTAATCTTCTAAGTGTTATACCATTTTGAAATCGTTATTAAATGCGCCATTTTTTAAGGTTACTTGCCAAACTCTCGTAGTACATTTTTTCCAGTACAGCCAGTTAAAGTTGAGCAAAGTTTTACTTTGGAATACTTGGTTGGGAAATAAGTGGCAATTTTTCCTGAACGAGAAAAGTTGGCAGTAAGGTTGAGACACCACTTTGAAGATGCATTATTAATCATTACATCGTAAAAATAAAATCCAAAAAAAGTTAATATTTGTAGTAACAGGAGTTGACAGACTGCCGTAGGGTGTGAAATGTCTATATTTTTTTCAAAGACCTATAATTTTCAAAACACATACATAAAATTTTTTTAAATATTTTTCTGATAGATGTTATGACTTTGCCTATCACCCGGTTTCGGCTTGACGTCGACTTCTGGGACACCCTGTATATATCAATGTATCATCAGCAAATAGTTGAATTTTGCAGTATTGTAAAATATCGACTAAATAGTAATGGACCTAAGTTGCTACCCTGGGGCACACCTACCGAAATGTTTTTAATGTTTTGCCAATTTTA